AGAACACAGCCAGGACATAGGGTAAGAGTCAGTTCAAAGTGGTACTGAAGCCTAGAACTTCTAGATTAACTCACATTCCCACTTCATCAAGGTTGTTAGCAGCTAGGGATTAGTGACATTGGCTATGAAACTGAGGAACTCTAGAGACAAGAGTCAGTACACATTTAAGTATTAATCATTCCCATTAAACAAAAATTAGAGAAGAAAATCTTAGATATATGGAAGAATTAAGAATTACCTAGTCTAATCTATATGTGGGGAAACCAAGAGTGTAGGAGGAAAAGAGGCTTGCCCAAATTCATACAACCATGCACATGCCCATGCGTGTGTGTGCACACACACACACACACACACACACATGCATGCATGCTCACACACACATAAACATATACATACTCACACAAATGGTGCTAGACCCTCCATGTATTCTAACTAATCTTTTTCTTGTTCCCTCAAAAACTACTTACTTCCCTCAAGCTGCTCTTCTAATGGTACCCAATGTGCCCAACTTGAACTGCTTCAGTTTTGTTTTTTTTTTTTGGTTAGTGGTGGGGCTTGAACTCTGGAAATGGGCACTGTCACTCAGCTCTTCAGCTAGCACTCTACCACTTAAGCCACAGCACTACTTCCAATTTCCTGAGTGGTTTATTGGAGATAAGACTTTCACAGATGGGGCTGGGAAGGTGGCTCAGTGGTAGAGCGCTTGCCTTGCATGCATGAGGCCCTGGGTTCAATTCCTAAGCACCACATAAGCAAAAAGAAAAAAGCCAGAAGTGGTGCTGTGGCTCAAGTGGTAGAGTGTAGAGTGCTAGCTGAAGAGCCGAAGAGCTGAGGGACAGCACCCAGGCCCAGAGTTCAGGCCCCACGACCGGACCCTAAATAAATAAAGAGTTTCACAGACTTTCCTGCCTGGGCTGGCTTTGAACCATGATCCTCAGATCTCAGCCTCCTGAGCAGCTAGGATTACAAGTGTGAGCCACCATGTCCAGGCAGCTTCAGAATTTTAGGGAAGCCCCAGTTGTAACCAATAAGTGACTAAATACATCTGCAGGCTTCCAACTTTGGGTGGAAATCAAAGCACATGTTCATTGGAAATGTGCAGCCTGTGTGGTTTAGAATGCGAAAAGCTGCTGTGATAGATGTTCACTGTCAATGAGCAAACAAACCTCTTCCCACACCCTGTGCTGACATGTACAAGTGGGGTATCCCTGGATTTTTTCCAAGATGGTGAAGAAGGGCAGTATTTAAGGCAAAGCAGATACTGTCTAAAATACAAGCTGATAGTGTATAAAACACAATTTTCACACTGTGTATGCAGTAGTGAAAGAAAGACCTGCTAGGCCCAAAAATCTCACATAAAATCTTGCTCAAAAACGATCTTTACAATTTAGGTGTGTGGGGGGGTAGGGGGTAGGGAGGTAGTGTAGTTGTGGAGATGGGAGGGAAGGGATGGTAGGGGAAAAACAAAGGAGGAGGCAACAATGCTTGATAAGAAATGTACTCATTACCTTGCTCGTGTAATTGTAACCCCTCTGTACAGTATATTCACAATAAAAAGCTTATTTTTAAAAAATCTTGCTCAGGCTAGAAATGAGATATGGCTCAGAAGAGAGAGAGAGAGAGAGAGGGAGGGAGGGAGGGAAGGAAGGAAGGAAGGAAGGAGAGAGAAAGAAAGAAAGAGAGAGAGAGAGAGAGAAAGAAAGAAAAGGTGGCTCATGCTTGTCTTGCATGCATGAGGCCCTGGGTTCAATTCTTCAGCACCACATAGGCAAACAGAAAAAAGCTGGAAGTGGTGCTGTGGCTCAAGTGGTAGAGTGCTAGCCTTGAGCTGAAGAGCTGAGGGACAGTGCCCAGGCCCAGAGTTCAGGCCCCATGAAAAAAAAAGAAAGAAAGAAAGACATAAAACGAAAGAAAGAAAGAAAGAAAGAAAGACATAAAACGAAAGAAAGGAAGGAAGGAAGGAAGGAAGGAAGAAAGAGAAAGAAAGACATAAAACTCAGGAAAATAGAGGCTGACTCCAAGACTTCAAAATCTTTCATCCAGGGAGAAAGAGTATACATCAAAAGAAACGTGGGAAAACACCCTCAGTTTGGCTTCACTAAAGAGAAAATAAGTGAACATCTTCAAGTAGTTCAAGCTCAAATCACAGGCCTACTGTTTACCTAGTATGTGATCTGGGGGTGGCTGAATTACCTATAGTGAGCTTATCCTCCTTATTCATAAAGCAGTTATTTTTAATGTAGACATAAGTTTATTTTGAGAATAAAGTAATATCTGTAAGGCATTTAGTCCACAATAAGCACTAAGTAACTTCAAATATATTTTCTTTCCTTTCTTCACTGGCAAGAAAGGTTATTCCACAGTCCAGCTTCATTTGCCTGTGCTTCCTCTTCCCACTAGGCCTCAATCTGGACCATTCTGTGCAGACATCCTATCTGAGGCCAAGCACAGACAGCTCACTCCTCCCTCTGCTTATCCTTTGGATATTAAAGGAAATTAATGGTAATTAAAGGCAATTGGTCAGATATGTGCCACAGTCAGGAAATTGATCAGCTATGTGCCACACTCTGGTCATTGAAGGTCAGGAATTATCAAATTAGTCCAAGGCTGTTCCAACCTCCTGTACTCTGATACCCAAATCTATTACCAACATGGCATCTAGTTTAGTATGGTTCTTGTCTTTCCCGAACAGGTTTCAGCCTTAGAAGCTTATAACAGCCCACTGCCCTGGCAAACAGATGCTGAATAGGCCAGACTTGAACATCAACAACTGCTGAGAATGTCCAAGGCCAGATTATGAGTGAATAACAGCTTGGAGCCTGAACCTGCAGGAAGAGTACATACACCAGCACCTCAGAGACTGAAACAGACAAGGAGCAGAATACCTCAATGAGGTTGCCAATGGAACTGGGCTCAAGCCCACTACCCTTATTGCACTGCTAAGAAGCTATGTCACACCCATGTCAGGTTCTTAGTCTGCATGATTGAACTCACGACTGTCACAGTGCTACCACCACATTGAAGCCACCAGGGATCATTAAATGCTTCAGACTAAAAGAAGAGAATGGACCCAGCAAATGCCTACTATATGCCAAGAAGATTGCATGCAACCCTCATTTATACCCTATGTATTATTACACAAAGTATTCCTTAGAAATTTTTATCCTCATCTTTTATGAGAGAACTATGCTAGTCTTATGTCCACACTACCATACTACCCAAACTCAAGATCTGGGAATAACCAAGGAAAGGGAAAAAATACAGCTAAGAATCTAACAGACTATATACCAGGCTCTCAACACTAAAACTCATTCAGCAGACAATATTAGTTTAAATACAACATTCTATTACATACTACTAGTAGGACCAAGTTATTGCAAGCAGCAGCTAGAGAAATATAGCAGAAATCATAAAGATGCTTGTGCCCCCATAATTTTACTCTTAAGAGTCTATCTTAAGGAGACAGTTCAAAAGGGATTCACCACACAGATCACAATACTAATTTTAAATTTTTTAAAAGGAAGTGATCTAAATGTCCAACATGCAAAGAATGGTTTGAAAAGTCCTAGAATCTTCTAGTTACTTGATGTGACATTGTTATTCAAAATGATCATTTAAACATTAAGAAAAAACGAAGCATTTGTGATAAAATAAATGAAGACAGAATTCAAAACATCATAAATGCTATCATGGCAACTTTTAGAAGTATATACATCAGGATAAGCAAAAAAGAATGCAGTTATATCAGGGGAAATAGATTATGATTATGCTTATTATTACTAATACCATCTGTAAATTGTTTTTCTGATGCTCAATATTGTTCCAGTAAGAGTGAGACAGATCTTGCCCATGTAATTGTAACCCCTCTATATGGTATTTTCTCAATTAAAAAAAAGAGTGAGACAGAGAGAGAGAGACAGTGATACAGTGATAGAAAGATATCCATACGTATATATACGTATATATGTATGTATATATGTATACATATTTACATATACATATATATAGACAAGGAGAACAAGTAAGAGAGAGAGAGAGAGAGACTCAGCCTAGCACTATGGAAGCACTCAGGAGGACCAGAGGTGAGATGTGAAGCAGAAATAGAGAACAGTCCTACATACCTGGAAGGAGGAGGCCAGGCACGCCCCTAGGGAAGGGAAACCCTCCAGGTATAAAGAGGGTTGTAATTAGTCTAATGCTAATTATGGAAGCCTTACTAGCTTATTAATTTTTTTGACAGACTCTGAATGAAGACTGAATTCCTTCATTAAGCCAACTTGAGTTCAGAAGCACATTTCCTGCATGGCCATTCTTCTAAAAAGCCTAGCCTTTTTTTTTTCTTAAAGACAGCAGTAAAGTAAAATTTAGCAACAAAAACACACACCCTGGAGGAATTAAGACTCCTGATTTAAATGTAGAAATTCTAGTCATTTTAGAGAACCAACGGGACTTAAATAAGCAACGGAACTACAATGTTTTCTACACTGGGAAATACAAACAAAGATGCAGAATATTTTGCTCAGTATTAAAGGCCCCCTCAATCAGGTTCCAATCCATCCTAATTGCTTCATGATTCGTTCAAATTTAACAACTACTAGTCCCAAATATTCTCCTTACATGCCTACCTTCATGACTCTGTTGGAGCTGTGATATCTACATAGTTTAAAGTCATATCATTTTTCAAAGCGAATCCTTTTACCCCGAATCCACTTTTCATTCTTCCCAATGGTTCAGGAATACTGTGCTTTGAACGTCCCTAAAGGAGTTACATAGTCTTCCTTATGATACAGTCATTTGGGTAACTGAGGAACCAACTTTTCTACCATATTAAACCTGAACTCCTTGGGGGAGGGGGAAGGAGGGTAAAAGACCCCTTCAGATTCCTACATGGAACCAATTATAATGCCTGGCACACAGTAGGCCTTCAGTAAGCACTTCACTGAAAGACAAAAAAAAAGAGAGAGAGAGAGACATTTTGTCTGTAAGAAGTCCCTTCTTACCTCAGCTGCTCCAGTTAGGCAATGCAGAGGTGAAGGTGTGTTGTTCGGTGATCGGAAGCAGGAGAGGGATGAATCTTGCTTTTCTAGTTTCTGGCCTCCATTAGATCCCAACTTCCTCCCCAGTTGACCATAATCTGCTCGGCCCCAGGTAAATACCTTGCCACTTTCTGAAAAACAAATATGATTTGAATTATGATTGCACTGTATAGCTGTGGATAACCAATGAGTTACTGGAAAAAATGAGCACTGTGTCCTTAGTAGTACCAAGTACTAAGAGTCCTAGTTTCCTGTACAGAAAGCATTTTTATAGACATGGAAAGTGAGGTCAAAGAGGCTAAATGACTTCCCAAAGTTCAAACAAGTAGAGAGTGCTGGAACTGGAATCAGAGCATGATTCTAAAGCCTCAACTCTTATAATTATATATTGCTATAGATATGAATACTACTATAGATACACTTCTCTCTGATCAACGTCTGTCCTTTGCCCAGATGCCTATTCGTTCTTACCCAAACCACAGAAGTTCCCCCATGCTATAATTTCCTAGGCTTAACTCAATCAATGACCAGTCTCTCTCTTTTCCTCTTCCTCATAATACAAGAGGGCTTCTCAAAGTATATGCAGAGAGGAGCAATCCTAATAGTCCCAAAGCAAACATCCACACACATGCTGGAATAAAGGGAGTGCAAAGAAGAAAAAAAAGATGCAAAACAGATGCCAGAGAGTATTCAGTTCTGCAGCACTACATGGGAAGCTGGCCAGGGCTAAAGATGATAGAAGAAAATAAAGTATGACAAATAAGGAAAACCATGGGGCCTATGTTTCTTTGGGCCTGGCTTACTTCACTTAATATAATTTTTTCCAAGTCTTTCCATTTCCTAACAAATAGGGTGGTGTTATTCTTTCTGATGGAGGCATAGAATTCCACTATAATATATATATATATATATATATATATATATATATATATATCACATTTTCTTGATCCATTCATCTACTGAGAGGCATCTGGGTTGGTTCCATATCTTAGTTATGGTGAATAAGGCTGCAATAAACATAGTTGTGCTGGTAGCCTTAGTATGGCCTTGTTTGTGATCGTTTGAGTAAATGCCCAAAAGTGGGATTGCTGGGTCATAAGGGAGCTCTATGTGGAGTCTTTTGAAGAACCTCTATACTACTTTCCAAAGTGGTTGACATGTTGAAAATTAACTTTACAACTTCAGTGGGCTGGGGGTGGGGGGGAGAGAGATAGTGGAGGTGGGAGGGAAGGGATGGAAGGGATGGGATGGTAGAGGGAAAACAAAGGAGGTAACAATGCTCAATAAGAAACGTACTCATTACCTTGCTCATGTAACTGTAACCCCTCTGTACAGCATTTTTACAATAAAAAAAGTACAAGAAAAGAAAGTATGAAAAGGGAGATAGGGCCTTTCTTCTCCAGAGAAGAGAAAACTCACCAAATTCATTCAGTTGTACCAAGTGCCACATTTGTTATTTCAACAGAAATGCAAAATCTGATGAGGCATAGATTATTAACAGATTCTCTCCAATAAATATGCATAACCATGTGCGCTGTATAAATTCTCTATACATGTTTATTTTAACAAAGAAAAACTTTGCTTAAGAGACAAAACATCAAGTAATGCATATTAAATTCTAGATAACTCTACTACATACTCTGCATTTGGTATCAAAGCTTCACCCGGCCCCACATTCAACATATGGCTTACAGTGTCAGCTAAAAAACCAACCACAGAGTCATTGGAGGGAATGTCAGAATACTGCAAGCATACAAAGCTCTACAGAGATACATTCTCAGGTGTGACCTGCTTGCAGATTCCAAGCAGCTCAAGAGAGTTTGACTTCTGTTTTTCCACAAAGAGAGAACCAAGCCCGCAGGGCCCACAGGAGATTTGGCATGTTATGCAAACTGGAAATGAATCCATTCAGATGTACTATTCATGTGTCCTCGTGCGCTGCTCCATCATCTATGGATGCCCTTTCCTAACCAGGTAAGCCTCTCAAGTTAGTTCATGTACCATTAGTTCTAGGAAACCTTTCTGAACTCCAAAACTCTCCCTTGAAAAAGGTTAAACTTACCCTCCCCCTACCTTTATTATTATACTCATCAACTACTACAGTGCCATTTAGAAGATGAGAAGATTAAGGCTCAGAGAAATAACCTACTCAAGGTAGCAAGGCTAAGCTGCTTCTCTTTAAACTTACCCTTGACACCACTCTGAACTGGTTATTCACACTGTCCCATGTCACTGCAGAATCACTGTACACTTCTCTTCATGCAGCCTGACACTTTTTTTTTTAAGTCATTGGATCAAAAACCCATAAAGCAACTCAAACTGGTAAACTGTGTCTCTACCTAAGCTGAGTTTCACAAGAAGCCAAAGAATGAGACTGCTGCTGTTTAAACAACCTCAGCATTCTTGGACCGAGAAGACCACAAAGAGAATTGTGTTATCACTAGTTGCACATTGAATCCTTTCATTCATATCAAGTAAAACATCTCAGAACTCTGTTATTGATTATTGATGTCTGAGACAGGCAAGATTGCCAGAATATGGTGCCACCATTATTACATCTCCAATAGCAATTCAACCATTCCACTTACATAGCACTTTTCACCTTCAAAGCACTTTACAAAGATTAACTAATTAATCTTCATCCTCTCTGGGGAGGCCAGAGATGTTCTAGCAGAAACAAGCCCAGAAACCAGGCCAACTCAATATTCCCCTTTAGTCTCAAGCTCTGATATACTCTCAGAACCCTTCTATTTCTCCTCAAAATACATTCTACAGTAGAAGGTTCATAAAGCATCAACCAGATGTTGCTCCTTTAAAAACAGACATTTATGGACAACCTTTCAGGCACCTAGCGCATTCACAGATACTATATCATTAATCATTATAATAACCCTGACATATAGACTATAAAGTTCATTGTACAGATGAGGTTAAATATCTTGGTCAAGTTCAAACACTTAGTAGGTGGTGAAATTAAGATTTAAACCACTGTCTTTGATTCTAAATCCAACGAAATCTATAAGGATTACACAGATGATATATAGACTAATGAAACTGGGCTGAAAAAGAGCCATTCTTATAAGACTTGAATAGAGGTGAGCCAGACTAAAGGGAGGGATATGATCTGTGTGCCATCCCATCTTCCTCTCTAGAAGACCTTTCCAGAAGGAAGACAATGCACAACTAAGACCCTAAGAAAGACATTATACATATGGATTATGATGTCACCTGAAGTAAAAGAAAATAGTGAATCTCATACAAAAATGTTCATTAATGCAATGTAGATAAATGTCTACCTTAAACTGAAGCTTGCTGTCAATTCAAGGCATTTCAGATCACAAACTTAACAAATGAATCTTTTCCTTAGGGTAAAGAATTACATATTAAACTATTTAAAAAGATACATTAATGTCATCTTAAAAAGTATAGGTATGTGTCTCCAGATAAATGACAAATGAGAGAAATGACAAAATAGCTCAAAATAAAGTCAGAAAATGAAATATCATTTAAGACACGTCCATGTAAGAATTAACAAAAGAAATATAGCACCAAGAAAGAAATAACATTGTGAAAGGTCTCTTCTACTAACAAACACAAAAACAGCAGGTCCACAGAGAATACAAGAAGGGCCAGATGAGTGGTATTGACAAAGCACATTTTAGAGCAAACATTTCAAGCTAGAATTTGTCCTAGCAAAGCGTGAAAGAATGCATAGCATTTAAGATGAATTTCTAGATGGGAAAAGAAACTGGGAGAATGAGGGAGGATATCGTTGGAGCAGGAAAGTGATGAGAAATAACATGGAAATTGAGAGGTATAAGGTGCAGTGGGAGAATGAATGAGGTCAGAGGAGAAAGTCTGGGACTGAAGGTAGGATGATCAGGCTGAGCCAATCACAGAGAAATGCCAGGCTTAGGGGTCTGGAGCTCATCTTCTACACCACAGGTCTTCAAACTTGGTTGTTTGTTCTCTCCTATTAGTAACATAGTTTTAAGCCAATGTACGTACTTGCACGTATTTATTAAAATATATGCTTGTAGTTTATACATTTATAAATCTTGACTATATATCCTCATTCAAAATTATATAGAATAGGAAGGGAGCCAGGAGAATGATAAATAGGAGTAAGATTGATTGGAATGCATGGTAAACATATGCAGAAAGGTAATTATGAAATTTCCCCTTGTATGACTAATGTAAGCTAATTAAAAATATGTAGAACAAAATATAATCAAAAACTAGAAAATTTCAAAGAATGTGGAAGAGAAAAAAAAAAGCAAAACAGTAGAAGGTATAAGATTTCCTTATCACACCCTGGCAATTCTTCTCAGAATATTCACTCTAAGCCCTAAAAGGTAAGAATGACTTCTGTACCGGACCTTCACATGCTGAGTTTAGGAACTACAGCTAACATGACCATGGGGAGAACAACACACTTTGAGCAGGGATGGGGCATGATGAAGGGAATGTTGTGAGTAGTACCTAGCAAAGAACTGAAGGAGGCCAGAAATAATACATCCAACACTTCTGCAGCACCTACTACATGCTGGGTACTGTTGTAAGTGTTCTCCTTAGAGTATCCTTTTCATTCCTCCACACTCTGTGAGGCAAGTACTCCTATCATCCCCATTTTACTGCCAGGAACAAGATTCTTGTCTTTACTCACAGAGGTAGTAAGTTAGTAGGAAACCATCACAGTAACACAAGCCTAGGATTCATCAAGCCTCAGTGACAGTTTGTTTCATAAGAGAAAGACATAGAGAGAGAGGGAGAGAAAGAGAGAGAAGAGAGAGAAGGATTTTCAGGACTTAGCACCCATTCGATGTGAGAGAAAGAGAACAGGAAGAAATAAACATCACTCTGAAATTTCAGCATTTCAAGATTAGTAAGAAGGTAGCATTGTCATTAAAAGAAGTAGGTGAAGGAAAAGAACTTCCAGATCAAGGATTGCATCAAGAAGAATCATGAAGAGTTACTTCATTACCAAATGATTTAATTTTCCTAGGTCCTTTTGCCAACATGTTATCAAATAAACTGATGTAAATAAGGGGAAAGAGTAAGAAGAAAGACTGGCAGGTACAAAGTCCAGGGGGGGAGCACCCTGAGGGCAGGGTGGTGGGTGACAAATATT